AAAAAATTCAGGGTATAATTTTATGCTAGGCTTGATTGAAAATAAGGCACTGCAATGCATTACTTTGTCTTTCCTATAGCTCTGTAGATAATCAATCCCTTCAAAATTGTCTATCAGAGCTAACAAACTAAAGAAGAGGCTAATAAAAAGCTAACAAGCAAAAAATAATTTTACCTCTAAGAGGATGAAAAGATTTTGCTCAAACGACGAGCTGTCCACTGGCACGAAATCATCATATTCTTATAATTTTTACCTGGTTTTAAAGATGCTCAACTTTAGACACTGAAATTTGAAATGGAGTTAAGGAATTTTTAAGCGTACAAATAACACCAGTATATGACCTAAAACAGTCACTCATAATTTTGCAGAAACTTTTAATCAACATTGCATGACATCTCCCCGGGAATTAAAAATTCCTTTGTTAGCTCGTTGCTGAAAACGTCTGTGTGTGGGGTTTATTTAATTGTTCAGTGTCCAAAGTCAATGAACTTGAGAATTTTCTTTCTTTATAAATCATACCCTTCATTGTTTGCATTGAATTATACTTCCTGTTTTAAATACATTTTGTTATTTCCCGTAGGGGCCAGCACCGAAATCTTTCATAGGAAGCTAACAAACGTTGGGCTCTCTATTCCATGACATCCATTCTGCCGTGTCTTGCAGCAGAGGGCAGGAAGCTGAAAAAATACCTTTGTGAGCTCATTGCTGAAAACGTCTGTGTGTGGGGTTTATTTAATTGTTCAGTGTCCAAAGTCAAAGAACTTGAGAATTTTCTTTCTTTATAAATCATATCCTCCATTGTTTGCATTGAATTATACTTCCCTTTTTGAGAACATACTGTTATTTCCCATAGGGGCCGGCACCGAAATCTTGGGCATACGTATTTTCAATGATTCAGCGATCGTAAATTATAAGCTTGAGACAGCAGAAGGATGGAGATCCTTTTCAAAGGTAACCCCAGAGGAGATTACTTGCGGGAAACTACATTGACATTTGTAATTGTAGTATTCCGGTTGAACCGAGATGGAGCCGAAGTATTTGCTTCTTGCAGTTTTGGTATTCTAAGTTGGTTATGCAAGAATTTTAAGCATTATAATGAGCATTTTTAAAACCGAAAAAGGAAAGAGGGAAATAATTGAAGAAACAGTAAGTTGTTGGTACTCTAAGTAAGTTTGGCATCGTTGGTCGTTTAAGCATTGTTCATAATCGGAGTACAATTCCTCGTGGGTGACGAAAAGTTTTGCTTCGCATCACACCCGTGACAAAACTTACAACATACTTCGTTGTTTTAAAACATACGTGAGCGTAGATAACTTGCGTATTATTGTTGGGAAAGGAAATTTAGTCATGTCAAAATGTAATTATCATGATTACATGCCAATAAAAGGTTTGAAAACAATGTTAGTATTGTAAGGAATGTGCGGTATTCCGCTGGATAAGAAGAGGACGTGGTCAAAGATGCATTGTAAATCAAGGCAGCCCTGAAAATCTTGGCCCACAAAGTCGATGTCACCTTTTGGAGTAAAAATTGGAAAGAATTCTTGGGATTTTCTGTCTCTCCTCAGACCCTCTGTATGAGTCTCGGTTATATCGATAGGGGAAAAATTGTAATGAATGGTGCAGACTTTCTCCATTTGTTTTGTGGTTCTACTGAGAGGTTCACTGAAACAACACCTGAAATCATTTTCTCGCTTTTATTCAGTTTTCATGGGAAGCTGATGAGCGTTGGGCTCTCTATTCCATGACATCCATTCTGTCCTGTGTTGTATCGGAGAGCAGGAAGTTTGTGAAATAGGGTAGAAGCGAGTTACGGGATGCGGAGGACGGGAGAGGAATAGACAGGAACTGGGAGAGAAACGCTGCAGAATTGGTTGGGGGAAGTGGGAGACTTCCCCCCCCCCCCCTGCCTCTCCACCTCATTAATTATTGAGGTCTTAGACATCTTAAATATTTTGTCATCACGCACTTGAGGTTATGTTTCTGAGCATAGACCTGTAAAAGAACAGACATGTGAGAACTTTTACCTGCTATCTTGCGTCACAAATCTCTAACACTGCGTGTCTATTGCTATAATAACTGTTTTGATCTTGAGATAACAGGACTCTAATCCACGCAAACTGCATATCATCTGCAGAAATCATCTAAGGAAATGCAGCAGTTATGTGTTTGCGATAGGAGCGAATCCTCATTTCACCCTCATCCTCAAAATTTTGATCCCTTTATAACACTAGAAAGGATCGCTTAAATTACTGAGTGTGGAGAATAAAATCCAAACACAACTCAGAGCGAGTGAGTCGAAACTCGCGACATTAATCTTACATGGAGACAGTGACTTGTGATTCAGACAGCATATTAGAGCATCTTTTAACCGTAGAGAATGTCTGATTTGGGGTAACGGTGCTGGCATGGTAAACAAATCATGTAAACTGTTAACACGTTCGTGAAAATACTTTATTAAGGCTTTCTTGAGCTTCGTGATTCAATTTTTACCTTAATTCTAATAAAGTTGTAAGTATTCTGAAGGCTTTAACTTAAGTTGAAAGAGACTCGCTTTGTTCAAGGATTCGACTTTTCTTGCGGGCGAAGAGTCTTCGTGCCGCAGCGTAAAAGAGATATCTCTCCATGGTGAATGTCAATTGACACACAGATAATTCCATAAGGAGTGGAACAATTTTCAGAAATTCAAGTATTAAATATACGAGGAAAAAAATGTGCGACTTACATAAGGTTCCAAATGGACCATTTTTACAAGTGCGTTCAATTGAAGACGCATTTACTCGTATCTGATATAGGAGTTGGTTGTCTTTAACTCTTGTTTTCCTCCTGTAAACCTGAAAATCCACTTTTTCTTCCTTAGATTGTCGAGAGGTTTGACGATTTTTGCTCAGTTGCGAGTTCCTTCTCCAAATTTTTGAAAATTGAGTGCAGCTTTCTCTTTTCCGATGAAATCCATTATCCTTGGGAGCTTGTGCGAACACGCGCGCGAGGACCACGCGTAAGAAGTTGACTCTTGCTTTCATGCAGCTCAAGTTCGCTTCTTACTTGAGCAACAAAAAGAACTTCGATGCTTCTTATCTATGTCTTTTCGCGCGTTGTATAAGTTTTAACTAACTCGAAGTGAGCTAAACAACTTTTTCTTACACAAACCGTGTCCTGATTCATACGTCAACGGTTGAGAGTGTAACGTCATCCACGTAGGTGCGCGTAAAACACGAATTGATTCGATTTTCTAATTTAATTGGACTTTTTGTTCCTTCTTTCCCCGCACTGAGTTCAGAGTCACTTTATTTGTCATCCAATTGATCTCTTTTTGCGGTTATCGAAAATAGAAGTAGTTCAGTCTAAAATGACGTAAATTTTTGTACGTTTGATGCGACATATGGATGAGTGGGAGTCAAAAAGAAAGGCTTCGAGAATACCCTCCTCCCGCCAAGGGAGACCGGGGGTGTCAGTTTCAATAAACACACTCTACCAACCGTATCACATCCGTTCGTCTCCACTTCCGAAAGTTTTTAACTCCTTTCTTAATTACACTCATGATCGATACTTTCAAACCCAAGGAATGACAGAAATAAGCATTTTTTAGCGTTGTTGGGTCGATGCTCCAGCGATTTTCAAATCACAGATGGTAGAACAATGTTCTTATGTTATTTTTTTCCTTTATCCCTATTCAAATCATATAAAATCCATTGGATATCAAACTGATCTATTTTGGTCCAAATATGAAAGGAATTAAGTTTAAAATGACGTTGTTCCAGTTCTAAGTTTGTAACAACCGCATTTGTGTGGGAGTCGGTGAGTTAAAAAGATTGCTTCTAGAATAGCATTGTTGACAAGAAAAGTCCTTAGACCGTGTCAAATCGGTTTGTAATTACCGGTTTTTCTAAACCAAAACAATGGCAAAAGTAAACAGTTTTAACGTGTTTAAAACTGCTCATCGCTGAAAATCCTCCACATATGCCTATATTATTGAGTAAGGTTCAGTTTTCACTTTCCATTTTTCTCTTTCAAGGCACAAAGCACCTTCATTAAGTATTCAAATTGGCCTATTGATCTAAACACAAATTAATTAAATTGACGATAAGACATTACTTTTGTTCCGAATCGAAACAATAGAATTACCATAACTTGAGAACTTGAATGTTTCTGGTTACGGCGGCTACACGCTCTCTGTAAGCATTAATAGACTAACCCCTCTCTTTTAATGATATAAACAATCCTTTCTCCGTGATCTACTACAAAATATCATGATACTGATTTTTCAAGTTCCACAGACAGCTGATTGAATATATTAATTTGACCCCTCGCTAGGCCGTGGAATGCGTCACTCGGTCTGTAAGAAGTCTGGGCAACCCACATAGTCACGTGATCCGAAAAGGGGTTTTCTGGGTGTAGGTTTATTGGTGAAGCTCACTTCTCCCTTGCGCTAATCTCGAGAGGTTCACAGCTTTAGTTGGATAGTCGGGTCGAGGGAATTTCGAGGTACGTACATACTGCACGACTAATGCAGTACCTTTTCTTATTTCTCTTTTCTGAACTTCAGCCTTAAAGATTAGTACTAGTTTAATTTTGGTGAGCTGAACCTGCAGGAAAAAAGGGGAATTTTGGAATTGCAGGAAAAGCCTAAACCATCCCCATCCCTGACACGTCATACATTTAATTCAGTGATTGAAAAACCATCTGTTAGTTAATCCTGGGTGTTTAAATGACTAATTTTGATTTTCTCTTTGTCAAAAGGGAAATAAAGACCGAAGAAAAAACCCACTGTGGAGTAAGCCACGATTTTCTTGGTTTTTCGAGATTTTCGCCGCCGTGAAAGAGGTACGTAAGAAGTTTATCTTTGATTGTCGCCATTCCTCCTGTTATGCAACCTGTTTGAAGTTTTCCTCATTCGATTTCAAAGCATTGCGCTAGTGTTAGGCATCCAAATTACACTCTGGACAATCTCTCATTTTGAAAAAATTCTTTTTAATTTTTCCATTGAAAGACGAGGGGAGACTATGGTTAAACAGACAGTGGCTAGATCACTGATCGTTTGGGCGTTGTTGCTGTTATTGCATAACGCAAGCTCGATTCAAGAAGGTAGGCTTCCTTTCACAGTTTAGAGCAATTTTAAAGTAATTATGGATGACATTGGTTTTGCTTCTTTTGCTTTGTGATTTACCAAGATTTATTTCATACTTAAAGCAGTCGCCATTTGGTCACTCTCGTTTTCCTGCTTCAGTTAGTTTGAGTATCTTCACTTTGAGTTCTCTGTTGATCCCCTGAGGTAGTTCCTTTCTTGTGATTCGTGGCTGCAACTTTTTGGGTTTGGTGTTATGACATTTGATCGAAATACGCCCTATTTACCGTGTTTTTAAGATGTAAATGTAATATTTGAATTTTCTCTTGGCTTTAAGTACTTTTAAATCTCAGCTCGCAACTGATATTGCTAACATTTTCAGGTGAGGCAAAGGATATCAGCCATCAACTCACCCGCCCTGAACGAGTAGACGGTAGACGGGAGAAACAAGACCTCTCAACTTCGGAAAAGGTTGTTTTCGTTCAATTTCACGTTATTTTTTTTGGTTCTTTACTCGTACTTTGGATGCACTTTTGACTGCGATGCAAGTAATCCATTCAGCGCACTATTTAACAAAAAATATTATGCATTGACATAACAATAACATTGGACAACTGATCTTTATAAAGACATTTTGATGAATAATAATTTCGTGTTACGTTGTTGTAGGGAGGTCACGTGGATGATGCCTCTTATCGATTGACTGCTTTTGACAAGGACTGGACCCTAGATGTTAAACGAAACAAGTATGTTTGTTGACAAACCTATGTTACGTTTTTTCACTGAATCAGACTCTTGAAATAAATAAGTAAGAAGGAGACGAATAGTAATTGATTTTGTTATTCTATTTTCATGCTATTAACAAGATCTATGGTTACAAGATCGTTGAAATTTACTTGCCTATTCGTGTATTTGTTCGCTAGTTGTTATTTTCTTTTGTCCTTCATTTCATTTCTTATGTCATCGTTTGGCTCGCTCATTTCATCATTTTACATAATATTATATCTATTTATTTCTTTGTTTTCTCTTTTCATTCACTTACAGTCTCATTATGTTCTTAGGTGTGGATCTGATTCATGTATATTAATATATCAACATGTCTCATTATTTTGCTTCTCCTTTAGAGAACTAATTCCTTCATCATTCGCCGTTCGCACGTTCGAAAATGATGGATCAGAGGTCATACAAGAGGTAGGTATAAGTTATAGAACATATTAGAAAACACAAGGTTGATCATACAGTCGTAAACGTTTGCTTTCCATGTGCAAATCGCGTCAGAGGCTTTTTTGGACGAAAGCTTTTTCTACAAATAAAAATACAAAATACATTCCTCATAATAACACCAAGTAGTTGGGTTCTGCATCTCTGTCTCTTTTGCTGGTTGAACATCTGAAAATATCGATGCTTAGCATCGCTCTGATTCAGAAGGTAGCTAACAGCAATTTATGGTATAAATGCCAATGCAATCTCTCTCTCTGCCAGTTGATTAAATATCGATAACATCAAACTCTATCTACATTAGCAAATGTGTTAAACTTTTGGTGGTGATCCGTCAATTTAAAGGTGAGTATTGAGCTTTATATAAAAGACATTAGCATGCTTGAAAAAAATACGAATTTCAGATAAGAGGGTGGGGTGGGAGAGGAGTGAAGGCCATCCAACATTATGTTCATCGTATGCATTTCTCTCTCAGGATGATAACGATCATTGTCACTATCAAGGCATCATACGTGGAATGAAAGATTCCCGCGTTGTTCTGAATACCTGTAATGGGTTGAGGTGAGGTTTTATTGCTGATTTACTGTATAACGCATTTCAAGCATGACATCTTCACTAGATAAGTTAGATGCTATGTACGTTTTAGAAATGTGAAGACAAAAAGCTCGTAATAGCAAACAGGATACTAGTCCATGGAGTTTATACTTTATAAGAAGCGTGGAGAAAAGGCATGACTTCTTATCTTGATTTGTTTCATTTACTGCAAGCAGCCTGAGAGTAAAGAAACAAGGAATTGACAATGTTATATTGTGTCGGTTGCTAATGCATACACCATGGAGCTTTTCAGTCGCGTGTTTTAAAACCATCGTCAAAGCAACTAAAACAGCTGATAAATGTCAACATCACTTTAAGCCAACGAGAACGCAAAGTAGAAATAAGTACACTGTTTGAGGCGTCGAAAAACGTGAGTGAGTAACTCACTTTCAATCACACATCGTTGAAAGGAAAACCCAATGAAATGCTGAATTGCTTCCGTATAAACTGAAAATTTCTTGATATGGAAATGAGAAATATCAATGTTGTTTTTTCAGAGGCATGATAGGTGATGGCCATGAAACGTTTTATATTATACCTGAGACTGGACACGAGGCAAGTTTAACTAAAATACAAATCGTAACATCAGTAGAATGTAGATAAAGTGTACAAGAATTTTCATCACTTCACCTTCCTAAACACAACATTACGAAAATTCTCATTGTTTGTATTGTTTTTGGCCAATGCTGATTGCTATTTTCACGCTAGATCTCTGTAGTAACTTAAGTTTTTATTCAAGTGAATCGTGTCGCTCAAAATGTGCTTCCTTTTTACCTCGTTTTATTTAAAATCGTTATTATATCAAATTTCAGGGAAATGGAATTCACAGAGTCAGTAGAGCCGAAGAAGACGAGTCCCAAGATATCTTCCATAAGTGTGGTAAATCATTTCATTGCGAAAACATAACATTCAATCGGTGCGCCTTTTTTTTTGCTTCAAAACTTCTTTAAAAAGGTTTCATATGTTGTTGTTTGCTATTTGAAGAAGTTTACTGCCTCAGAAAAATTCCCAACAGATGCTGTACTTATTTGTGATGTCATGTTTATAGCGGTTGGTACGTTTGATACTCACCATTTTTTCTTTCTTCAGGAAACGACGACATTCAAGCAGACTCCATTCCTTAAACGAAACTTTTGGGCCAATTGCGAAGGTAGGTGGTCACTATTTAGACAACGAGATATATAAATAAATAAACAAACAAATTATTAAATGGCGAAATAGGTAAAACGCAAGTTTGTATGACATCTTAGGTGAGAAAATAAAGTAAGCTTCTAGTCATGAAATTGAGAATATACCAGGGTTGTCAAAATCAATGACAAGTGTTGAAGAGTTAAATTTTCAGTTCGGGATCAGAAATGGAAGCTCAAGTTTGGCAGATCGTTATGATCAAGGTATTATGAACAGCGAAATGGCAAAAGACGTGAGGCGATATAGAAAAAAAAAGACGAAAGAGAAAAAAAACACGTAGATTAGCGTATAATTAAGTAATACTTTCTCAATCTTACACTCTCTGACCTCAATGACCAACCCTACTTTGATTAGCTAAAAATAAGAAAAAATACCGAAACTTTTTTATAGTTAATAACTATAATTATATATCTTTAGAACTGAAATTGATAAACTAATAAACTTTTCTTTAAGTAAAGCAAAAAGTAAAAACAAATTTTCATCACTACTCTAAACAACCGTGTTTGATTATCTTGGTTTAGATCCAGGAGAGACGTAAGATATCAGGTCATATTGATGAGTTCTACAAGAAATATCTGACGACTGATGAGACGCGATACACCGAAATTTTCATTTGTGTTGACAATGAAATGGTAAGTACTGTTTATCACAACAGATCAATGCTTTGCTTCTTAGGCTGATTATCAGATCAACTGCTCTTACTCCCACCTTTACCTTCAATTTTACCTAGATTTAGTTATGAAGCCAAAATCCCTCACTCACCCAATCAATACAGTCTAATCTTAGACAATTAAATTTGTAGATTAAAACTTGGATCAACCGCGTAATCCCTGCCTACCCTACTGGGTTTCTGTCTCTCCTTAAAGGCGCGTTATTTTCTTCTGTTCCTATATCTGGGAAATAAGGCAAAGGAGGAAATTTTGTTCTTCAGTTACACCTCAAAATCTTTCGATGACCAGGTTGACGTTATTTGTTTATTTGTTTGTTTGTTTTTTCAAGGGTTATTAGAGTTCGCGAACTCAAAAATGTTCTGATAATTGAACTAAAACTTGAATTTCCCCACAATGATCATGTTATCTGCTTTCAACAGTACCAGAAATATAACAGGGATAAAAATGTCATCAAAGATCGAGTCATAACATTAGTAAACACTGTTGATGCGGTAAGTTATCTTTGGAGCTTTACTCTAGCTTTTCTTCTTTTAAACCATTTCTTTAATCATCTTTTATCAGAAGGAAAAGAAAAAAAAGTGCTTAGCTTAGTCGATCTAAATCTGCGAAAAATAAGTAAGTCATTGGGCTTTACAGAAAATACGTATTTCGAAGGAAAACATCAGATTTCGGCTGGAAATGTCTACGACGATACGAAAACGATGTACGTAAAGAATAACCGTTGGCCTTGAATACAAAGTTTCAATTTTTTAAAAGTGTTTCACTGAACTTAAAAAGAATCACAACGTTTTCAATGATGTGAATTAAGACAGCTATTTGATTTCTCTTTCCCAAGATCGCTTTAGTAATTCTCCTTACTGTGTGCTATGCAATTCTTGTGATGTTAGTTCGGAGACTTTGGTATTGAATCAACTTATAATGCTCTGATTGATATTTCTCTTTTTTCTCATCACTTGTTTGCTTGATGTTTGATTGATATTGTATTGATGGTGTAAGGAGAAGTTTTGCCTTGGTCACTCTTAAAAGACATGGTGCATCAGAATGTAATGGTGACTCTGAATGCCCTGTGTCAGAATTTCAAAATTTTCCAGGATGGGATCACGATTTTTTTTCAACCAGTTGAAATGGACTGTGCAATTTGTGAAGTTTAACTTCTTCAACCATTTAAGATAGATTGTGAAATTTGTGAAGTTAAACTGTCCTCGCTTGCGGGTGATCAAGGTTCAGGATGAAGTCGTACCATAGTCCTATTTATATTTCGTGCTAGTTTTCTTATCCGTTATATCTCGGGGGGGGTGGGTACCTCCTGAACCCCTCCCAGATCCACCCTGTCTTTGTATAGATTAACCCTTTCAATCCCAGAGATGACCAAAAACGAATCTGTCCCTATATAATCAATGCATTTTTCAAGCAAGAAAGAAGAACTCCACTAATTTTTTGATCTGACTTGATTTTGTTGTCGATAAGTACATAGTCACAACGCAATTCTTCTTATTGCTTATTTCCCTAATGGTGCTGAACATATCAAAAGTTAATAAAGGATGAATTAATTATATACCAACTAAATATCTTTTGATTTTTTGTCTCTTGTAAAGATCTATCAGCGAATCAACATCAGGATAGTTCTGAAGTACTTGGAAATCTGGACAAACAGAGATCCTTTCGGGCGTGTGCGAAATGCAGGGAGTGAATTACGCAATTTCAGGGCCTATCGAAATAAACATTTGGTGAAAAGGTTCCCTCATGACAACGCTCTTTTACTAAGGTAAAATTTTTCATCATAACGAAAGTTTTTTTTTCACATTTCCCAACTCAAAAACGTCTTCCGATTAGAGGAGAAACCTTTTAAAAGAGTAAAATCCTCTGAAAACCACCAGGAATCTCAAAAGATCGATTTGGGGTGGTTTGAGTTATAACACATGATCTAGAACATAGTGTCCTTCACCTCAAAAAAATATTCTTCTCAGTTAACCCTCTATCATCCAATGTCGCTTGATTGCCAAGAAGAACGAAAACTTCCGTGTCTTGCAGCTGTGTGGTAGATCATTAATTTGTTTTGAAACTTATCGGAGATCAATGTAATACTACGCATATACTATACTACCCTACGGGGCTCAGAAAAAAAGCCGAGCAACGCGCAAAATGTCCATGGGTATTGAACAAGAAATATTTATCGCGGAAAATGGTAAACAGTAGACAGCAAAAGTTCGCTTTTTGTCGTTGGCCGGTCTCGTGAACTTTGCTTTATACCTCAGTCGTCGAGGAAAATAAGTTTTCCAGGTTTATCTCGCTTCAATTTTTTTTTTCAGTCACAAAAGTTGGCCCCCGAATATTGCTGGTCTAGCATGGGTCAATTCGATGTGTGGCGGAAATTCAAACTCTATCAACGCCGTAAGTTATGCGAAGAAATATGAATTGCATTGTTTTTGCCTCACTATGTCCTGAGATCCTTTAGAATACATTCGCCAATCTCAACGCCAATCTCGATCAAACAGAGGCAAAAGAATTATTAGTCATGATTTGATCCCCGCCGTTTTCCCGCGCTTCAGACAAATTGCTTTTTTGACTTTGCTTTCCCATTGGTCCCCTGTGATCTTTCCCTTTTTCTGATTGGCTGTCGTAATTACGATATGTTTGGATTTACAGCACTCAAACGAAATACCACCTAAAGTGGCGTGGGCTCTGGCTTTTTCTAAGCTAAAATTACGCTGGTAGGGGCATGCTCAAACGTAGTATAAAGAGATTTCTTACCCATCCTAGAATTTAAAGGTCGACATATGGTTAATGATAAATATTTTTTTCGTAGTGGTCTTATAGCAGTAGTGTTGGTCCTTATGTAACTGTTGCTCATGAGTTGGGTCACAACTTTGCGTTCAATCACGATACTGGTAAGAATTGTGAAACTTTTGAAATCAAATTCATTTTTTCTCGATTATCTTGACAAAAGAGAGCTTTTTCTAATCGCAAATAGTTGTAGAATGATCTTAGCTTAGAGTAGCGTATGAAAATAGTTATGACAACATGAAAATGCACACGATACCTACAGGGTCTAATGTCAAATGAGGAGGCAGAAATATAACTTTTAGATTTTAACCTAAATTTGTTTGTGTTTTACACAAATCTAATCAAACCCTTAAGTATTGATACAGATTCTCGCAATACCCAAAAAGAAATTTTGACTCAGTAGTGTTCGATTTTTTAAAAACTATTTTACAGTTCTTAGCTACTAATTTTGTTAAATTGTTCATCTTACCAGTTATTATTGTTATTTTTTTCTAATTTACACAACCTTTCGTCAAAATGCAGGGACCTGCAAGTGCTTAACTTCACGAGGCTGTTTCATGGGAGGTACCAGGTAGGTCATTCTCTGAAACATCTGGCAATGAGATACACTTAAATTACTCGGTGTGACCGATTGGTTAGGGTGCTGGACTTGAAATCTGGTGGTCCCAGGTTCAAGTCCTCTACCCCACCATTTGCTGGATTTGTTCTCGGTCGCCACGAGTTCAACTCCTCAGCTGCGCTGTGTAAATAACCAACTGGTCTGCCCCCTGCCAGTTGGGATTTTCAAGCACTTTATGTTTATTCCAGTCATTATAAAGTACTATTGGATGGCGATAGAAATAGCGCTCTATATAAAGAGTGTGTTATTATTATAACTCAGTTTCACCTTAATAATACCGTCAATTTTTATTGCGATTTGTTGTATTGTCATAGTATTCAATGACAATGAAGGTAAACCACTCTTTCTTTCTTCCACGGAGTGCTAGTGTTGAGTTATTCGACAAAACATCATAAAGAAACTCAGTCAGTAAAATACTATTGAATACAAATAAAATCTTACAAAAAAAATTGGACGAAAGCAGAGGAGCAATTTAGGTGCAAGACGAAATCCATCGTAGTTGTATGTTTTTCTTGAGTAGGTGATGTGTACATATCTGCTACATTTACAATCATTTATTGAAATTTCCCCAATATTGATTTCAGGTCTCGACTTCCAGGATTTTCGGATTGCAGCCTTAAATCGCTTCAAAAGGTCAATGACGCATGCTTGTACAACGTACCAACTTACAAGGTAACCATAAGAAACCAGAGAAAGGGGAGGGGGGGATATTTTGGATGATAATTTATACTAAGATTATCGGCCTTTTAAGGAGTTCCTTCAATCCTTCATTAAAAGGGTAACCTTGAAGAACTTTTTAAAACGGCTCTGCAACCTAACAAAGTAAACCAGGTAACTTCCTGGAATAGTGATGCAAACTTTATTCAGGAACAGCCCTAAAAATTTCGACAAAATAAAGGTATCCCCTATGTAACGGAGTCCTTTCATACAAAGAACTCATTTTCCAATCAAAATTTGGTTAGCCTTAGGATGATACTTAAGGGCTTAAATGTAGAAAATTTGGATGCAACTGTCACAAACATGGGTATGGCAAATAGTATGTCAGAAAATATGTTATTTGAAATTCTCATTTTTGATCACTGATTCGGTTTCGATTTTGGTTAAAATATGCACTTCAGTAGCTAGAAGAACATCTTGAGGCTGTTGGTTCGTTTGATTTTCCTTTAGGCCTACAACAGTTATTGTGGAAATGGCATACGTGAGGAAGGAGAGGAGTGCGACTGCGGTACCCCTGAGGTTTGTAAAGTTGCATGAATGGCAAATAATATAGTCGACCATAAGGGGATTTCTCATTAATATTTTAATAGATTTTCAAGTGGAAAGGTAATGATAAGAGAGAAAAACATCAACCAGGGGAAATTGCTTGATTTAGTATCAAATTCTCTGGGATAATATCATGAAAATGTATGTCTGTCACTACAGAGAATTGGTTTTTGGATCGTGTGAATGAAAGGGTTAAAATGAGTTGCATCAATTTTTAGCGAGCCGGTACTTTCGTTGTTGGGAAATAACCACTCTCAGAGAGAAAAAAAGGACTAACTCGCGTGAAACTCGGTGGTTCACAATCGAGCAACACTTAAAACAAGAGGTTGGTTAGGAGAGTTTTTTCTAAATGTTGATAGATAAAGGTTTCATATTAAGACGCTATATCTCATCACCTTAGCAACCGATACCCCAGTTGTATACTTCACAACGAAATTTCATAAAATGATGAATTCTTTAGTAAAAATGGTAATGATCTGAGAAATATTCCTTTTTAGAGAGTTCGGGTTTAAAAATTTTGTTCTGAAAGCATTTGCGATAAATTGCTTTGTGTTTATTCAAATTGCTTTAGCATGGGATTTATTGTGATTTCTTTGCAAAGGCTAATGTCATCGTAAGGACATATTGACCTTGTAACTCCCATGGGCGACCAAGAAGAATTTATCCTTACAATATAATATACATCACTATATATATATACATCACAAGAAGTATATGGCAGACAGTAAGGAGAATTACAAATGAGATCTTGGGAGTTAAAGGGTTAAATTGTCTAACACTTACAATAGCTGACTACTTTCACGACGTGACAACGTTCATTCTTCGGACACGATCAGGAATGATGAAAACGGTTTTTAATCTCCTCAGATGTGCCAGGCCAAAGATCCTTGCTGTGTACCTCACAACTGTGTCCTTAAAAAGGAATCACAGTGCAGTGACTTACATCACTCATGCTGCAAGAACTGCCAGGTAACAAAATAATCAATAATCCCTTCAATATTACGGGCTCATGAAACTGAGAAGCGTTGAGCGTTGGATGAAATTTAAAGAGGGATTATAGACATTGAACTGACAACAGCTGCTGTGAAAAAGTGCCCTTTTAAGTAGAATATTGGTCTGGATTTTATATTCATCTTTTTCTGGTATTCCCTCAATTGCAGCTCACGTGCAAGGGCTTTTCTTTACTTGATTATCATCCACAAGTCAAAACATTATCTACTTCTTTTGATTATGAATGAAAATACGATAACACAGGCGCACCTGTACGGTTAGACAGCAAACGTACTTTATATTTTTAGGGTATACTTGCGGAAGGAAATAAAGAACTACACCATAGGAAGAAATAACGTTATTTAAGTTGCCTAAAAGATCAATTTTCTCGCTATAAATGCGTGGTATAGGATCCAAAATAATTATAACAGATAAATCAAAGTGTTTCATCCTTGAAACTTATGGTTCTTTGTGCTTTACGCGATCTAACGGCGTATTCTGACTCTCGTTTAGTTTAAGAAACGAGGAACGTTATGTCGTGGAGTCCAAACTGATTGTGATGTTCCAGAATATTGCACTGGTTCCTCAAGAGACGTAAGCAAATAGAGAATTTGACTCAGAAATTATTGTGTCATAAAAACCACCGAGTAGTAGCTATCAAGTGTGAGGTTGTAAAAATATGTTATTGCACTTTGTTATGTACAAAATAAAACGAACACACGGCGCCAGAAATTGTCAGAATGTTAGCTGCAAAATTTATGTGCATAACTTTATCAATTCACCTGCCGAGGTTACCACCAGCCGTGTGTGTGAATTTTTAAATCACAATACTTGTACACTAGCGTAGGGGTCAGTGTCTTAGTGTATCACTCATGTCTAACATAGCTTGGGTTTTAATATCGATAAAAGAATTGTTACTTTAGATTACTTCAAGAGCAAACCCCAATGTTGCTTAATTGCCAAGTTTAAGAAGCTTCACAGTTGATCACTCTTACTCTTTCAGTGTCCTGAGGATACTTACATCATTAATGGATATCCATGCAGCCAGGCGAAAACCGTACGTTTCTCATGATCAGAGAGATAGCATGTTACATAGTTCAAAACGTTTTTCACTTTTACAGAAGTGCCACTAAGTTCTGCCTTTAAATATTATTAATTTACCACTAATGCGCATAACTAGGTGACCAGCACTCATTTCAAACGAAGAATACTACCATCTACTCGTCACCTACCTTTAATTTTGCTTTAATCTCGTCGGTCTTCGATGTGATTCCTTTCTTCTGCAATTTTTCTTCTCGTTTGCTTATTTCCACGAGAATGGTTTGGACAAAAACTGAACAATTCAAAACAGATTTGCATTTACTTCTCTTTGTTGTTTTTCTTTTAAATCCGTGTACATCTAACTCGCTTGACTAAAAGCCGGTGAGCACCGCTGAGTCTGTATACTTTGGGTTGTGAAGATAAATTTTGCCACCTACGAGTTACATTTTAATTTCTTTGAGGAAAGTCCTTGTGTTAATCATTGATTTTTTTTCTCTGAAATTATTTGAAGGTTATACATGGAAACACTAACTTCTATGGTGTGGTCGCAAGGGACTTGAACCCTATGGTCAACGCTCGATATCTTCGTATCAATCCTCAATACTGGCATGGCTGGCCTTGTCTAAGAACCGACTTCATGGGATGTTCTGCGGATGAAGGTAATGGTATGCTACAATTCTACTCAACGTTGTTGAGTATATACCAGACACTTGTGGTCATTGTGCCATGACGTGTTCTGTAAACCATGAAGATCAACAGTGCAATGTCCTCTGAGTTGAAATAGGAAGACCGAAGATAGTGCAAACATGGGTCCGGAAGTCAAATAACCATTCTATTCTAACGTGTTTCTTTACGTTCGTTTTTACAGCAAATCCAACTGCCCCTACACCCTTGAAGTCATACAACTTTGACTTTTGTCTGACTCCATCAAGCAAGAGTTGTTCCCCACGTGACAACGACCCCATCATATTTGTAACCGGTAGCAGGTGCTCAGAGAGACATTTTCAATTCATTTTCAAAGACGGATTGTTACGCCACGCTTGCAGTGGGAAATTGGTCTGTCCCGAAAATGGCGGGACACATAATGGTGCAAAGATTGTTGTCAGCAGGACTTGTAAAGTTGCAGACTCGAAATTAGTGCGAACTGTAGGTAAGTCCAAAGAAATGCATATACAGGAATTTCAATTAATTGAAGGAATTAAAATTGTGATTCTCATTGAGCCAAAACCCATTAATTTCGAAAAGTTTTAAGACAGTTTTTTTTTTCGAATGGCTAGTTGTTTTGTTTGTTTGTGTACTTGATAGGGCGATCTTTAAAGCACGTCAAATCTGGCAGATGTATTCATACTTCTGGAGCCTGGCCAGGAAACGGGAGACAGATGGTACTGTGGTCTGGATGCGAAGAGCAAAGGCTACAACTGTGGTTCGGGAAACAAGGTACACTTTTTTGCAATATATCACACCTTTTAAGTATAAGTTGCAGGAAAAGCGGTGGCCACGTGGTTAACGCGACGGTCTATATAGAAAAGGTCCTCTTTCAAACCCCGGGTGGGCCCTCTTTTGCTGTGTGGGAGAGACACTGGCCCCTGTTGGCGCCTTATATCCTATCCATAGCATCCAATTTTTTCAAGAACTTAAATTCGAGTTAAGAAAATTGGTATATACTTTCCTTTCAGCACAGTACATAGTAATAAATCATATACTTATAGATTGTGTGGAGCCACTTGGAATGCAGAACGGTGAAATCAAAGACCGCCAGATTACTGCTTCCTCAGTGAGAGGTCAAGAATTCGCTTATTATGCAAGGCTCAAAGGAAAAAAATACTGGTGTGCCAAAGCCAAAAGCAAAACCGAATATCTACAAGTTGACCTGGGAAAGGTACGTTTTGATAGTAGATAAGAATAGTCAGATAGTTTGTGAACAATGCAAAAACAGAATATAAGGAAAGATATTGAGAAGTTTACTCAGCACAAGCGCCTAAGTAAATTAAATTATTACCTTTTACAATATCGTAAGGAAACTATGATTTAGTTCTTGTTTAAACGTTTTGAGGATATATATATATAATTTAGTTTATTTTGGACTTTGTATCGTTTCGTTCTTGCAACAAGCCTTTGAGAAATGTTGATTATCGAACACTTGTTGTCCCTTTTAATCGAAAAGAAACTTCTAAGAAATCATTTTTCATTCGAGTTTGTCGCTCAAGGAATGAACTACCTCTTAACATTAACTAGAGAGTCTGACACTGTCGGTTTTTGGAAGATAAGTTGCGTTAATTTTTACGCAATAAGTTATGCGCTAAAACTTTTTATAGAATTATCATTTTTTGTTATAGTTAACTAAAGAATCATTTTTTTTTAAAGTAGCTTTTACAATGGAATCATTCTAATTTTTTTAACGAGGTAAATAATTAACTATAGATTAAAGAATCTATTTGATTTATTCAAGCGGCTTATATTCAAAAAAAAATGGAATCGATTGCATTCTGTTTTAGTGTTGATTCAGTGGTAACGGGTTATAAATTGAATTCATTATGTTTGACGCACCATCATTTCAGAGTCATCTCCTACGAAGCCACCTCCTGCCCTCAGAGCTACTTTAATATAACTGATCATCCTTAAACATTTTTATCTTAATTGTTACATTAATACATGGTCTTTTCTATATTACCTTTTCGTCCTTTTACAATTTTAGGTTAAAACTGTCAGTAAAATCTTGATGCAAGGACGTGGAAACTGGTACGACTGGGTGACCGGCTTCTTCTTACACTACAGTTCTGATGGCCGGCGGTGGAAAACGTACTCTGCGAGTGGTGACGAAAAACAGTCCGATGTAAGCTAAGGATATTGTAATCATTCACAGTCAGTTGTTTACCTACTTCTAAAAACCACTCTCGTTTTCTTTCCTATCTCAGTCCTTCTGTTATCTTGGAAAGTGCAGCGAAACTCTTGACACTCAGTGTAAGGACTTATGGGGAGCTAGTAAGTAAATGTGCCCATTTTTTTTTTCCTTTTATGTCACCTAGCGTTTTGATACAAACACTGTTTGCCTTTACTTCAATTTATCAAATATTATTTAAGTATTTGTATGTTATCTACAATCTATTTTAGTTGCCAATTCAATGTTTTTTTCCTAAACAAAGGTGTCTTTCTTCAAGGTACATGAATTATTTCAAACATGATGTTTTTTAGTTAAATACTTAAATAGACGACACTACGAGTACACCCGACAGGAGCTGGACCTAAAACCCTCAAATGAGAAAATTTGTATGGTAAAAGCCTCTCGGCTCAATTATAGTTAATTGACGTCTTTCTGCGCTCCAACGAAGGGCTAACGCTCGAAACGTCAGCTTTTGAAACTCAATACTTGTGGCCAATTTACAGTATCAACTCGGTTGATAAAACAAAATTAACTTGTTTTACCCCTAACGACGCAGCACCTCTGTTCCTCCAAAAACTTACCCCCTTAACTCATTTGATACTAACTCGACCTATTGCAGCCGCCAAAAACGCTGACCAAGGATGCTATGACAAGCTGAACACTGAGGCTAGAGGATATGGTACATGTGATCCAAACACCAAAAAGAGATGTGCTGCAAGGTACATGACATTCTTTTTAGTGAGCCGAGTACCATTCGTAAGAAAATTAATCAGCTTATCAAGTGTACTTTACAAACTACAAAAAGAGCGCTCGATAAACAGCCAAAAGAAGATGACACAACTCTTTGTTTTAAATATATAAGCATCTTAAGCTTTTATTAAAAAAGCGATTTCGTTTCATGAGCAAAAAAGAAAAGTGATAAGAAAATGTCTGATTTAACCATTAACAAGAGTCTTTAAACTCGACCTATGTAAGATTTCATTAAAGTCCTTTTAACTAGTAAATCGAGTTTCTTACGTTCTGTGTAAGGAGGTGTTTTAAGTACTTAGCTCAGCAGCAACTAATCAATATATTTTCTCTAAGCGATGTTTTATGCGGCCAGCTGCAATGTGAAGCGGACGAAAGCAGAAAAAAACCTGTTGTTGACTATGGACGGGCCAGAGACAAAAAAATAATTTTGCCTTCCGGGAAAAAATGCAAGTTAGTATTACTTTCTTTTTGTTCCTCTGAGAAAAAGGGGTCAACATATAAAGTGCCTATCGTAAGCTAGATAATAAGGACGAGTTTCAAAACGCGAGACTCGTGGTATTTGACTTTGACTTTGCAATTTGACTTTTAGGAATTTCTTTGTTTGAGTAAATCCATATTTAAACTTCCATTAGATGCCTTCTGTTCAATTCCCTTACCTATCTTTGGAAACGAAACCATTAAAACTAAAATTGGAAAAAAAACTGTTTTATCACTTTTGGATCATATTTTCAACAAATGCAAAAACACGTAGTCAAACGCGGTTTTACTTCTTACAGTGCTGTAGAACTGAAAAGTGGTGACAGTATTGGACTGGGAATGGTAAGAGAAGGAACGAAATGTGGACGCAATAAGGTACGATACCATTGCCCTCTTTTTAATACCCTTTCCGGATTCGTCCTGTCATGCAGGCTATTAATTAATATCCAAACACAATCTCAAACACTTAGAACGTTCCTGTTTCATAAATACAAAGCCGTTTTGGAAAAAAACCGACCCCTTTCACACACCATGATCCACGCTACATCTCACATTAGGAAACATTTTTCTATACAATCAATTCATCGTAAGAATAGTATGGAAGAACATCAACCATTAGGTCACAAGAGTTCTAGTTAGAAGAGTTCCATGTTAAAAAAATTGCTATGAACATGGAGAATATAATTTTAGAAAAATAAGTTCTGGGTTAATACTTCGTGAAGAGTGCTTTCGGTGTCTTTTTAAGAACAAATGTGAGTCTGTTATCTCATGTCCATCCAACCTCCGCACGATTCCACCTCTCCACAATACGCTGTCTGTCTATATAAATACACTGTGAACCCTCTTTCCGGGTTAACATGTTTACCTTGGTACGAAAGTTTACTCCTGTCTATGTCTGTTTAAGATGTGTATCAATAACAAGTGCCAGTCACTAAGTTCTCTCAATCTGGTTGGCAAGTGTCCAGTGGTCGGCAACAAAGAGTGTGCGGGAAGAGGGGTAAGTAATTCTTAATGTTGAGTTCGTGAGAAGCATAAAAAAAAAGGAGCTAATATTTCCAGGTTTTGCCGGGAAATTCTACGCAGTTAAAGTTTTACACCATCGTGCAAGCGAAATCCGTTTTTCCTCAGTTAACTGTCTCTAATTTGCAAGGAATGAACAGCTGTCAGAAGAAAACAATAATCATATGGATTCTCAACGAACTGATATTTGTTATTGACTCGGCATTATTCGCAGAAATTTTTCTGTCTCTGACTTGGAAACTCTTCTAATAGAAGCTTGCGTAGTCAAGCTATTGCCATAAAATATTCAGATGTCTTTTTGGGAAGTGAATGCAATTGAATGGAAAGTAGTGCAATGTGAATTCGAATGTATAAGTGTAACTTGAATCAAGAAATTTCACTGAAGTCATAAAGAATTTTCTCACTCAAATTTTAATCATTACAAAATGTTTCTAGGTCTGCACTAATAAAAAGGTTTGCCACTGCCAAGGAGGATTTAATCCCAAAAACGGTTGTAAGTCAGGTGAGAGCCGAGCGTTTTTTCTCTGATATTCAGATTTTCTTTTCTTAGTGAGAGATATCTGCTAATATCTCTTGCGCTTCGAACTTCCTTGTGCAGAACTGACTCCACGTGACGGAGCCTGGGGTGAGTGGTCCCCTGGTTTTATTTATATGACCCAGATCTCAGATAGGGTGTAAAGCAGATGGAAGAAAAGCAATTTGACATTTTAAATCATATCAATATACAAATGAGCGAGCGAAACTACAGAGAAAGACGCGACGCTTCCAAACATGATTGTCATCAAGCGTCGCCATCTCCAAAATCCGACCGAACGGATTGTTATCTCTAAAAGGCCAGTTTTCACCTATTATAGAGTCGTGATTCTTATATATAAGAATCTTTGAATTCAATTTATTATCATTTGCGTGCGGCCACCAAAATTTGGCAGACTGTCCATGTGCGAAAAACACAGTGGTAGAGGCCACTAGGTCTAGAAACTATTCGCCAAACCGATAAAGCCAAGATTTTCCTGAAAAAAGTTTATGATTTGCTGTATTTGGCAAAATAATAAACAAACCCAGTCTGATTATTCAGAGGACTACCCTTAAACTGAATTCCTTATAAAATTAAAGCTGTGAGGTAATGGCAACAAGAATGGCAAGTAGTGGGCATTGAATGCTCATTGCAAAAAGTCTGCCTGTTTCGTGTCTGAGAACTGCCGTAAGAATTGCAATTTTTGTTACGGTATTATAACCACTCAATGAAAAATATAAAACAGATTAACCAAAAGTTGAAACGTTCTGATAATGTTTTATTGCTGTAATATTTGATTGTAATATGATAACTATGACTTGACGAGTCTAACTAACGTCACTAGAATAGTAAAACAGACATTAAGAAGAACTACTAATGAGATCTTGGAATAGAAAATATATATGTGGAACTATTTTTTCCCTTGGTAACAGGTGAAGAGAATCCCGAACACTCAGGAGGAGGAGGAGAATCTGGAGATGATGAAGACGATATGAGCGAGGAAGACGATGAGATGGAAGAAGAATATGAAGACGACGAAAAAGTTGAAAAACGAGAGAAAGATTACGAAGAAGACCAAGATATGTTCTTTGGTGATAAGTAAACATTTCTGCTCTATCATCACTTAAAGGTAAATAAATGATTTTTTTGACTGTTAATTGTCTTTCTTCCTGTGAAAACAGAGGAAGGAGGAAAAGGAGAGGGAGGCGAAGAAGAAGGAAGTTCAGGTTTTGTTTTTTTATAATTTCTTTTTTATTGTTTAATCGACTTCTATCGTGTGCCTCACTAAAAGTTAAGTTGATAATAATCCAGCCTATGGATTAGGTCTGGCTGTACATTCTAAGAACTGCCGTAAGCTTTAACCATTTTTGGGGTTATATCTAAACAAAAGTTTAACAATTTTTATTATGTTTGATTGCAGTAATCTTGATGTGGAGTTGGAAACTCTAATGCAAGGAGCTAATCAACTGATGTTTTAGAATAAGCTTTAGCCTTATTTATCCAATGGTTTTTTGGAATTTATTGTTGTATCGTGTAATCATGACTTTTTTTATTTACGATGTAATCTGCTCCGCTTCAGTAGCCAAGGCTGTAGTGCAAAGCTTTAAACATTTTTGGGGTTATATCTTTACAAGTATTCAGGGTTACATCTTTACTGTAATATTGGTGTGGAGTTGGAAATTTTTATTCAAGAAGCTAATCAACTGATGTTTAGAACAAGCTTTAGTCTTATTTATCCAATAGTATGTTAGAATTTATTGTTGTATCGTGTAATCATGACTTTTTTAATTACGATTTAAGCTTCAGTAACCAAGGGTGTAGTGCAAAAGTTTTAAACATTTTTGGGGATATATCTTTTCTAGTATTCAGGGTTACATCTTGACTGTAATCTAAGTATAGTCTTGGTAATAAAACCTATATTCGACAATATTTCTAAGTGAGTTGCTCCCCTGAGGATTTTCAATGATTAGAAAATATCCCGTCCGAAGCTCGACCTGCAAGCGTTCCTCAGGAAAAGGCCTGATTTTCTCAAAGGAAAAGGTGACTTGATTTGCAGTTGTTGTAGAAGAAACAGACCGAGGATTACAACATCTGTTCAAACCTGGAACCCATTCATTCTCCTCTAGATTTTCTTGTTCAATATAAATTCATTCTCCTGTTGTTTAGTTTATGCGTATTTTAAAGTTTATAGAGTAGTTATTCGACATCAGGCACAAAGTCACTCCCAGATGCAAGTTATGTCTGCCAATGCAGATCACGCCGGGATGCCCTTCAAACATCTCAAAAGATCTGCCATGACCATATTTATGTGTACTGTCTTTTCCTATTTTGTTACCTTCCCTACATTGCAACACTTGCCGCTGGTCTTTTCGCGGGAAAAGGCTTCGGTAAGTATTATGCAGTCCCTAGTACACTCGTTTTTCTCAATTTCTCCTATATCCATTAGCCTCCCTGCTGCTTTTTCAGTAAGAACGTCTATGGTAACTGACTCTTTCTTGATGTTGATTCAGTCGTGTGAACGATTTGTAAGCCACCTTAAAACTCGCATAAACTAAACAGAAATATTTAACCCCTTCACTGAGAAGTGTGGACAGAGCTCTTATTCCTTTGAACTCTCAGTGATTAACATATGATTTCTCCGCATAGTACCACCCCTGAGTCACAATTACGGTCACGAGAATATAGGAAAAGATCATCGACTAACTGAGTGCATCAGTTATGGTATCGCACTTGAAGGAATGGTAACTCGTAAATAAACATGTGAGGCAAAATTAGCCTGTGAGCCCAAAGGCTCATCTCCCAGGTCCAATCCCTGTATGAATGGCATAAAGCGACAAATAATACCGCTACTTCCCCCCTGGAGGGGATGTTTCCCCTCGTAACTGCGGTAACCATAACTTTCCGACATCACGATTAACTGATAAAAGGCGATTTACTGATGTAGGAGAACGACGAGGGTTGAAAATTGTTACTATTACTCAAAAACTGCACCTGCACTCGATGAGAATACACGAAGAAGAAATAAATAACATTGGTACCGCTCGGAAGCGAACTGCGATTCGCGCAGAGAGAAGAGGCCTCCTGAACAGAGAAGACTAAGTTTATATACGCAGGAAAAACTGAAAATTAATGCAAGCGGAAACGACTAACTGAAATGTAAATGACGCCAATAATTACGAATGAAACAATAATGAACGAAAGTAGGCGATATGAAAACAAAAGAAGCTAACTAGCCGGCAGAAAAAAACACTGATTGAGATGACGCAAAACAGCAACAACACTCTAGAGACACCTTAGTTAACAATTTACAACATTCCGCACGCTAAGATCTTACACCTCCCCTCCCTCCCCCCAGTATTTCGTCGGGTGATAGTTTGCTGGTACCTATTTAGACCCCTGGGTGGAGAGAAGCACTATGAAAGGAAAGTGTCGCAAGCACAATAATACACCACAGTGACCCAGCTAAGACTTTTAAAAAAACTTAACATGCTATAACAAACAGGTCTTAATTTCAATATATTGTAGGTGAATCTGTAAATGTGCGTATGATTTCCTTTGTTCAGGATCACTAGTAGTGACCGCGTCTAGTAGAGACCGGTCTCTACTAGTCTCTTTCTCTCTTTTTTTTGGTCTGTATGTTTCTTTGCCCTCCCCCCCCCCCCTCCCCCCCATTAGTCTTCGTTATTAATAATATTACTTTAAAGAGATTTCAGTAAAATTCAAACGAAGAAATACACGCCCGTCTGTTTCTTTTCGACGTAAGTGTCGGCGCATGTCTATGCTCACAAAAGGCACGCCACATTGTTTATTAAGTAACGGATACCTCGTCTCTGTTACAGGGTACGTCAAATAGTTATTCGTTTCCCTACCCCTCTCCCGTGATTGAGTGAGGTGTGAGTGCATCAGCACTTAAAACAGTGGAAAACCGTAAACAAATGTGCGAGGCAAAGTGAGCTTATGGGCTTAAAGGCTCATCTCGCATGATCTTATCCTGTTATCGTTGAAATTAAACGACTAATGATACCGCTACTCCTTCCTGGAAGGAATGCCTACCCCCTCTTAAGATTTCATCAAGGAAGTCTAATTCTGGGCAAGGAGAACAAATAGAACAACTTTCAATTCAGTAATGACAATAGACCGGGAATGCTTGATTTTCTCCACAGAACTTTGTGATTGGTGCTAAAAGTCTCGTACCTCATTGAATACATCAGTTAAAAAATTGCAATTAGCTGCGACTGGTCGTGCACACTTTCCCGCCCTCGAATTTGTGAGATGGGCTCTTATTGGCTTCTCGTGGTGTGAAGCTCTGTTGTGATTGGCTGTGGGGACTACGCTCGATAACTTTATTAATCTCTTTGAGAATACCTAATCAAATGGATGATGCTTGGACTACGATGAATGGCAAAAGTAGTTAGCGCACCTTCCTCTGGTGGGTGGTCGGCAACCCTCCAATCGAGGTAATAAAAAGAAATCATGTAAGTTTCTTCAAAGTCCCCCATTTCCCCATTTTGTCAACACCATGCATCATTGAAATAGGGGAGAGTAGGAGATAAAAAAGAGTTCAAAAAGTAGTATGGCTTACCAAGGCTTTTGCCACTCATTGTAATTTTTTTTCCAATTAAAGTTAATTTTAGCAGGAGAACACCAAACGTTATTAAAAAATTACTCTCCAAAAGGAGCTGAAGCAACTTTCAGTGGGAAGATTAAAATAGGAAAAAACATACAAGCCTGATTTTTTTTAATTTCTTTTTTTTTAATAAAGTTTATCCAGTCGTTCTTTAACAATGCCCATGGTATACCTGGTCCAGCTGGGTTTTTTTTAAGTTGTGAAACTATGGTTGTCACAGTAACGCTCGAAACGTCTCCTTTGAAACTCTTTACGGTGGCAAATTTACGTTATCAACTCAATTGATAATACTAAATCATCCTGTTTTACTCTCCCGCCGACGCAGTACCACAATTTCTTATGAAACTCACCCCCCTTTCATGGTTAACACACTTGGTGTAGGTTCTGTAAGTTCCCACATATCGTTCTCAGATAATAACTGGGACATAAGATCATCACATGGACTTTTATGCTCAGATACTGAAGACAAAAGAATCAGTGATCAACAGGTCGTTTAGTGATACTCATACTTCATGGTGTTTGTTAATCTCAAATATTAACTCATGCCTCACAACTTCCTTAGGTATTGGACTTTCTTCCAAAACTGCAAAAATAAGTCATAGGTTCAAATCCCTTACAGGCCTGAATTTTTTTCATGGCTTATTTCCTCTGCTGTTTGAGTAGTGTTCATTACTGCGAAGATCGCTTCCATATTCGGATACTAGTTTAGTTCATTACTCAGAAGGAGTCAGAAGAAAAGATCTGATTACCAGATATTAGAGGTGTCTGTTACTCCATTTTATGGGCAAAATACGTGTAAATGCATGCTCAGTATGTAAAATCTTAACAGGCACTATATACAGAGGTTTTGAAAAGTTTGGGTTTGAGAAGAGGCACAAAATATAATCATTCACGTTTGAAGTTGCTTCAGCTTTTGTGAAGCCTAACGCACAGCTCACTAAGATGACCTTCTCCCTCAAAGATAACCCAACCACTCTTCAAACAAGGACCACTATTCCTCACAGGGGGATGGGTGTTTCAGGCACTGATGTGCTAATAACTGAAATAAATAAAAAAGACCCCTAATAATGATATAAATCTCATTAACGCTTTAAACCTTGAGAACATCGTAACCAGGTTCCAGACCTCGTCAATTCTTAGCCCCCTTCCCCGATCCCCATCCCCCGAACTGGTCTCTAAATCCCCTTGAAGAACTCCTCTACAGCTAGTACTGAAGATTTTTACTACAGTTTTTATTCAGCATAATGAAAGGCCATTGCTGGAAAAGGAAATCAAGATGACTTGCTGTGCATCTGGCCAAAGTAGGAGTGCGCCTGGAGGTGTATGGGTTCAAGGAGGAGGCATCGAGATTCCTTGCGTTTATGAAATTGGCGTCAAGAAAGGAATTAAAAGTCTAAGAAAAGAACTGAGAGACAAACTAATACAACTCGTTCAAACCACTGACAATACAATCTAGGAAGACATCCGGAGCCCACCCATGTCGCAGTTAAAACATGAAACTGGACAGACGAATTTTGTCTTATTTGTTTATGGATGTTGGTAATGATTTACTTTATTACCGTATAGCTGTATTTATCATTGTTACCTTCTTTAATGGAACACAATCTATACACATGAAATGCAAATAAATGTTGTCCTTTTTTAATTTTATGTTAATATTTTATTTCGGAAAAAAAAGCTCGCGCCAGCTCTATTTGTAAACGATTTTTGTTCCCCGAAAGTTACTACCCCCAAGGGCTGCTAATTACGAAAGTAACGAGGGTCGCTACTATCGGAACTCTACGGTAGTGCAACTATGCCGCTGCACAGGAAGTTAAGGTTATACGGTTATCAGAAATGGTGAATAAAGCGGAAGTAACTGATGAAACTCAAAATAGAGCGACAAAGAAGAATACGCGTAAATTGTAAAATTACAATTTGAAGAATTACAAATCATTTGAAATTTGCAAGAAAAGATCTCCATTAACTCAGATGAACTTTGAGAACTGAGAATTGAATCGTCATCATTCTCGAAAAGAAAAGAAGAATTTCAAGCTGGTGATGTACTTGGTCCCAATCGAAAAAAAATTGATATCGTGAGAATCTATTAATATAAAACATCATTCAAAACTAATATTTGGTCAGAGGTGTCAACATATCCTAAATTCTTTGAAGTCAACTTCGTAATATATGAGATTTGATATCTCTTTCCACCCCGTTTCTTCTTTATTAGAATTAGAGACGAAACAGTAATAAGGTAGCAGGATATTACAATATGTATTACACGTATGTGCAATTTCTTTTTCTCTTGTTATTCTCTTTCTTTCGCCAGTAAATTCAAAGATATTGTCCTAAGTAAAATGCTAACGTTCGCTCATTAGACTTTAGATACAATTTCTTTCTTCCTACGTCTCAATGAAAAAAAAGATGAGAAAAATAATTTCGTATCAAGCAACTTTTTATGAATACGACACGTTATTAAATTCGTCTTTAATGCGACTTTCTGATAATAACAGTTATATTCCAAAAATGAAGTGTAAATGATAATTTATTGATCAAGAAGGAAAATGAAGGATGGATGGTCAAAAGCTATCAACACTCAACGAACAATTCATTTCATTATAGCTTTATTATCATTGTTATTATTATTTAACTTTAAAAAATTGCGATAAAACATTTCTCAAAAACATTTTAAGATTGCTAAAAACCGACGATGTTTCGAAGTTGGCTAAACGTCATTATCAAGTCAAAAAAAGTATTTGCGAGTGGCAGTCTATATCTACCAAAATAACAATGAGTGATAAAAAGCCATACTGTGAGGAAATAGCAATAGTAATTAAACGAAAAGTCTGGCACGTATGGAGTCCGTCTGGATATTTAAATTAGGTTTGAGATTCTTGATGAACAGCGTTTCGAAGACTAAACATTCTAATTTTCCCTGGTACTTTCTTAAAACTCTTAATTGGTTTTCTTTCAAAAGGTGGTTGCTACCGTGAGCTTCCACGAAATGTCGACCGATTGCCGAATATCTGTACTCAGCAATGCGTTGATGAAGGTGCCGGGCTGTGTACCCGACATTATCTGCATCGCACAAATCACATGAGAAACGATAAACAACCCATTGCCGATTCGGTCGACATTTCGTGGAAGCCCACGGTCGCAACCACCTCATTCTGTTATTCTCATTCTGATTTTGTGATCATTCCGATTACCGACTGCAGGAAATTAATGAACAATAATGAAAAGGCCACAAAAAAGTTTTTATCTCTGTCAATAGAATTATATTTCAAGCAAAAATTAACATTAAAAGTTTTAAAATTCCCTCTGCAAACACAGACACCAGCTACAGTTTGATTGAGGATACGATAAGGCGACTTTAACTGTCATTTTTTCAATTATGATGGAAGCAGTCATGTTTGGGGCTGATTATTAAATGGAAACGTTTTTCCTGTGTGCTGTCGTTAAAAACTCCAAAAAAAGCTCTTTAAAATGTCTTATAAGAAAAAGAGGTAAATGTTAGGACAGTTAATCGCTCGGAAGTGAATTGTAGACATCTGCATGGAACCAACAAAACTTGAAGACAATTTAAAAACGACATAAATGATCTACTGGATTTATATAGCAACCCTATTATATGATTTTTAAGGCAGATACTCCTAATTCTCCCTTCAGAAAAAATATCGATCTGAAAGAGAACTCTGTAACAGCTGATGATGGTCAGTTTTATTTCACATTTTTATTTTCTTCCTTCATATTTCGGCAAACCCGGGCAACGAGATTTTTTTTTAGCTTAATTCTTGTTTCTTCGTAACCAATAAATTATCCAACGAACATCTCTAGTGATAACCGATACTTTATGAGTCAGTTCAAGCGGGTTTTAACTCCAGAGAATGCAAAGTGCTTGTCTGATTGTCAGCTTCACTGCTTGTCTTACTTCACCAATCTTCCAGCAGTAAAGAAACGGGTTTAACGTGGAGTTAAAATGAACTAAGACAACTGCAACTCCCCTAACGATGACTAAGTGCAATGAATATGCTTTGCTGTGGTTAATCACAATTTCCACCACACCATACGGCAAATAACAAGCAACTAATGCTAACTGCACCCATAAAGCACTGCACACTGCCTTTCTGTATCGCGCGATATTAAGTGCATTTGGTTGGCTTGGCTCTTGTTGAACGTGATCTAGTATTTGTGCATGATATTGACGGAGAGTGCAAAAAATTTTCATGTACGAGAGAAATGAGATAACTTGGCATGACGGTATAACTATACGACCATACCATTCAGTGATACGGTATTCTACTGCGTACAATAAAACAGCGACGATGGATAGAACCCAGAATATAATTAAAATGATACCTGTGTGTCTCAAAGTTACAATTTGTTTGTATCTGAGCCCTATCAACAGGGCGAGAAGTCTGTCCACGCTTATGGCCGTCATAGTCATCAAAGACACTGAACACAATGCATAGCTTGTGATGTAGGCTGCGCTATTTGCATATCGACAAAGACTCCAGTGTTCATACACTAAGGAGATCCAATAAGTAGCGCTGAGAGGCTGTGAAACAAGACCAACCAGCAGATCAGTTGTTGCCAGATTACGATATAAGAGTTTTGACGGAGGATGAAGGAAAGACACTCTGTGAAGGGCAACAAGGATCAGACAATTTCCGAGAAATGACGTGACGGAGAGGAAAATGTTGACTGTTGCGAGACAGATCAGTTGTTGTTGTTGTAATCCACTTATGAAAGCGGGGAAACAAAGTAGTTCTTGGATCGTTTTTGTTTCTGTTCCACGTCCTGTTAAATTTTTTGTCGCCATCATTTAGTCATTTCTTTTTTCTTGCAGTAATCTGTGATTACACCAAGGAATTTTTCTTCATAACAGCACCCGCTTAGCCACGATTCATTAGTGACTCTTCAAGTAAGAGTAAATAAAGACTTCCTTAGCAACGTTCACCCAATCAAATGCTTGACAGTGACAAATGCTTGACAATGACAAATGCTTGACAGTGACAAATGCTTGACAGTGAAACAAGAACAAGATGGCGGACGTGTTCGCAAAGCTCCCTTCACTTTGCTTGATACTGTACTTAATTTTACTGTATATATCTTTCTTGAGGCAAGAATCAAGTCTAAATACATCGGGACTTCACTTGACTCTACAAATTAAGCTAAATGACGCTGTCGTTGCGAGAGAGGGATCTTCGAGGCTGAACAGACCACTCGTAAAGTTTGTCAAGCATGGCGGTCTATGTTTGGCTATTTCTCTGGATAGACTGATCCTCTTACGCTGTGGCGACGTGTCGTAAACTTCTTAGATAATTCGTGGAATTAGAAGAGTAAGAAAAATCGATCGAATTTTGTTTTACATTTTGTTCCTCACTCATCTACGGGTCTCTATGTGAAATTGTGGTGTATTGAGAGCTATTTATTAGGATAAAACGTCAAGAGATATTAGCAAGACAAAAAATGAGTCCTGCAACACGAGGGTACAATTTGACAGATGACGTGACAGCTTTAGCTCAGCTCTATGCTCTATACTCTATACTCTATACTCTCCTAGAGCACGCTCTGTCAATCAATGACAGCGCGTTAAATCCGAACTTTACTATAATAACAGGTTAGTAAATCATTATTAACCTCTGTAATGCCATAAAGTGTAATAATTGACAAAAAATGTAAGTACACCTTTTGCTGTTCATTACGAGGAAATACGCATTCATTTGCGAGAAAGAGGCAAACAATTGCGCGAAGTTACATTCATTTGCGACAATAATCGATCACTTACGCGTAAATCAGATTCAATAACGATTTTTGCATTTTGATCCGCCTTCAAATACATTTTTTGGGCATTCTGAGTGACGAGTCACTCGTCAAACAAAAGAGAAAATATACTTTCCTTATACTTTTCCAACGTGAAAATCAATAGAGACAATACACAAACATTACAGTGTATTTACTAACTTCTTTTTCACGCTATTTGCAAGTCAATAACATTCCTAAATCTCGGCATCAGTATAATTAAGACAATCATTAATGCGCTGAATACCTTTGACTTTTTCTCTGAAAATAAAGTGAGTATGGATCTCTCAGGCCAACATTTTCACTTATCGAGAGATCGTTCACATTAAACACTGTGGAAATAGGTAGAAAGAAATAAGTCTTCGCCGTATTTTCGTTTGCAGTATTCGTTATTAAGGGAAAATTTCTGCTGCCTTGTGGTATGAAATTTATGATTCTTAAACTTCTTAATGTAACCCGTGGAATTATAATTTCTAAATATCTCGGAAACTTACCAAATATTCGAGAAGATATGCGGATATTTGGGTTATAGATTACACATGAATAGTTAACCAAATGCATCAACCATTCTTAGTTTCCTAACAGGGCAGCCCCCCTTATTTCCCACTAAAACCAAATTACACCTTTTGCTGTTCTTTACGAGAATCAACGCATTCATTTGCGTAAGAAGGCGAACAATTGCGTGAAATTGTACTCGTTAGCGACAAAAAAAGATCATTTTCTGGTAAATCAAATTTAATAACGATTTTTGCATTTTAATCAGCATTCAATAACAATTTTGGGCATTCTAAAGGCCTATTTACACGGTACGACTTTGTCGCATGCGACAAGCTTACGACAGGCCTACGACACGAATTGTATCGTGTAAATCAAACCTACCACTCGCTTACGACTGTCGTGCACGTCACGAAAAATGTCTTAGGATTTTAAAACATGTTTTAAAACGCTGCGACAATCGTAGCCGAAATTGATAGAAAATGACGTATTTTGTGACAAACTACTGAGTAGGGGAGGAAGGTGAAATTTTCTTGCGTCAAAATGGCGGAGGAAGTCGCCTCCGGAAAGTCGAAGACTGCTTCCAAAGCGAAAAATACATTCTCAGATGAGGAAACAGAGAATATAATATCACTGTGGAGCGAGGAAGAGGTTCTTTTCCTTCTCTTGCAAATTATTGAAACAATGACCGCGGCCGAAACGAGTGGAATTGCACGCGATTTTGGCATGTCGTAGGTGAAAATGTCGTGCGCGTGTAAATTGTCCTAAGTCATGTCGTAGGCCTGTTGTAAGTTTGTCGCATGCGACAAAGTCGTACCGTGTAAATAGGCCTTAAGGCGTCATTCGTCCAACAAAAAAGAAAGATGTACTTTCATTTGCGCTAACCTTCGAGTCAATAACACCATCATACGAGACTCTGATGACTAGTTGAGCTACAAAGAATCCTAAGGTGGCCCAGGCCATCATAAGCCTCATATGTGAAACCTTGGTGTGAGCAAATAGAAAAGAGAAAATGGAAAATTTTTAGTTCGGCAGTTGAGTAAAGAAAGGTAATACTCATCTAATCACAAGCTTGGAACAAACAAGAAGTCCGTTAGAGGGGGGAGGAAAGGGATAACACGCTCCACTTCCAAAACAAATAACTTTTTCTTTTTATATTCTATGACCGCGACCGCGACCGCGACCGCGACCGCGGCGTGGAATGGGCCTGACTGTGCTCGCAGTCGAGAATTCAGGAAACACTATACACTTTAACTCGTGTTTATTTCAGTGTAATAAAAGAGATTCGCTCTAACAGGAACAGAATTCTCCTTAACAACTGACAGAATTTCTTGTTTGGCCCCTAACTCTTTCCGCAGCAGTTTGTGGTGGTGCCGTGTCTGTTGTGACAGTCCTTTCATCCTTGGCTTTCATATGTCACAATACATGGTCCCACTCCATTTGGCACTCGCGAAATCACGGCCATCGTCCCTGCAAAAGTATTTCGCTCCTTGCTGAAGATATCACCTGAGATGAGATGTTAGGTCGACATGTATTACATTACTGGTGCGCAAGTTGAGACCGTTGACGTTAGAGGCATCAGTTTGTCTGAGAATGTGGATGATCAGATATTTTACAAATCGTTTCAAGGCATGTTCATTTGTAAGAAACTGGTCATTACCTTATCACGTGGTCGGAGGATTTTAGTTGTGTCCCAATAAAATTACTCAACCCCTTCCCTCCCAAGGCACTGTAATATTCTAATAATTTCCCTCCAATGGCAGTCAATTTCTATTGTTTCCCAGTGTATACTCTGTTAGCGACGACTGATCCCACTCCGTTCCCCCTGAAAACCATGTGAACCCCCCTATCCCCTTAAAATAAGAATCTCCCTCCCAGGTGATAAATTATGACTGGTCCGAAAAGTAATTATATTATGTCACATTTTTTTTGGGAAAGTAGATCTTACCTGGTACGACATTTTTTTGATTTTCACATACAGTCTGCAACATTCTTCACTAACATCAATTCAATCCAAATTTTCAGCGAGCAATATTGTATCTAAGAGACCTGAGTAGATAGTTACAAGAAATATCCGACGTGAATCAAAAATTCCTCAAAAAATATTGTGAAAAAAAATCTTGTATGTCGTGAGAGTGAAGCCTGAAAGCGGTGAAAGTTCAGTGCTACTTCGTAAAGATTGCATTTAGAGTACAGCATGCAAAAAGAATTGTAACAGTGATCACAAGGGTTCCTTACCGACTTATTTACAACATTTCAAAACAACTGTCAAGTGCGAATGATTTGCAAAAGAGAAATATGGAATATGCTAATGATTTGCAAAATAGAAATCTGTAATTTGCGAAATGGAAATATGCTAATGATTTGAAAAATAGAAATCTGTAATTTGCGAAATGGAAATATGCTAATGATTTGCAACATAGAAACTGTAATTTGCGAAATTGAAATATCCTAATGATTTGCAAAATAGAAATCTGTAATTCTGTGATTTGCGAAACGAGAATCCCCGCGGAAAACTCCACGTCGATCCACGAGCCAGAAGAATGAATCGGTCAACTCACCATAAGTGTGGATCGCAACCTGTTAAATAATAGTAAAAACAGCAAGCGAAAGTGAGAAGTAAAAAATCTGCGAGGTGAACTTTGTGAAATCTCCACTACGTTCTTGGATAACTCAATGCGTCGTTTAGGCCACAGAGCGCAAAAGTAATTCGAAATGTTAGTTGACGCTGTAGCCGTACTTTCCATGGGCCTGTTTACAAGGAGGTGGGGGACCCCAGGAAGGTGAGGTAACTCGCCTAGCCGTGGTCGAAAAATAAAACGCGTTTACATACAATCTTACAACCCGGGGTGCTGGGGTGAGGTTTCTTGAGGTTGTTGTTGCGCTTGCAATTAAGACGTTTGAGCAGAGGCGTCCCAAGCTCACATCTCGAGAAAGACGAAAGATTAATTCTCGGACACGTACGTATTTAATCATGAAAGTGTCACGCGTTGTGTTCCACGGTATTTGGTTTCGCGTGGGACCGTTGACTTAATACGTTATACGGAATAGTTTGGGAAACGAAATATGGTCGATTTACAACGCTAAATATTCCAAAATGTGAACATTTTACACTCCTTAGTTGTCTGTCCATTGTGGCTTCTGGTGATTTCTGCCATGAGACGGCTAGGAAATGTACAAAGTTTCAAAACATACCTGTTTCGCTTTTGAGCTTTTTTGCCATGAACGCGACCCCGGTTAAGCTGGTTACCCCACCTTGACACGTTTACATGGCAAATTGTCACCCGGCTGACAGAGTTACCCTGCCTGGCAGACCGGGCAACCCGCCTAAGAGGGTCACCCACCTATCATGTAAACGTGATCAAAATAAAATAAGAAATTATATGGAAAGGCGGGGTTACCTCAGCTACCTGGGGTCCCCCAACTCCATGTAAACAGGCCCTATAAGGTGTAATCAATTTACGTTTTCAATGAATAATTAGAATGCGTGACACGACACTTACCTCACCAGAAATGCACATGGAGAGAGTCGCAGCATGTTTCTATATGAAATATCATGTTTACTGGGAAAATATAACTGACCCAAGATCTTTTA